GGCCGTTTGGGAAAGAGCTCAGTGGTCAGTCTCTGTGGTAAAGGCCAGAATCTGGGGCTGAGGCAGCGAGTCACAGTAGAACCTGGACTTCGGGGCCAGATACGAGCAGCTCTTAGTCCAAGCTGTGCCTTCTGCCGCACTTGTGGCTTGGAGCAGATTAGTTGGGACCTCAGAACCTCGGAGTCCTTGTCTTTGATCTGGGGGGAACGGCACTGCTCCTGGGTTGCAGTCAGGAGCAGTGCCGTTCAGTCTCTGTGCATAGCATCGGCCACAGTGTTCTGCAGGCTGTGGGTGGCAACAGCAGCCGTTTTGTCGTTATTGTTAATAGGAAACGTCAGAAGGCACCACGGTGGATAGGCATGGACGGTTAATTGTCCTGAGAGGTACCAGGTAGATAGTTGTGGTTTTGCTGCATCAGTTCAAACAAGGAGGTGAGGAGGCTGGAAAGGTTTGAGTTCTGGCTTGGACAGTTTAATAACATGGTCATGAGATGTCAGGGTAGATGTGAAAACCAGCAGGCAGTTTGTGACACCTCTTCTTCTCCCCTGGGGTGTCAGCCCTTGAGAGCAGAGACTGTATCTCTCTCTCACCATAGCCGTGTTCACCTACGTTTCTGCAGTTGCCCGATAGACTTGGGGCAGGTAGATGTGCAGACACGGGAAACGTCCGCGTAGGTCAACAGCAGCGCCAAGAGATGGCCCGGAAGTGCTCCCTTTGTTGTCTCAGACCATGCTGGCACTGTGAAGGACTTAGCAAGACTCTAGTCATAGGCGTTTTTAAATCATCTGTTCACAAATCACCAAGTGACTTCGTTCAAAGCTAAATCCTAGCTGCCTCGGGGACAGGAACCGTCTGCTCAAACTCAGATCAAAGTGCCCGCAGAACTCCTCGCGATGAAGACATGTCAGCGAGTCACATGCCTCGTCGTTGGCTCCACACGTGATCCTTTATAACACAGGTTGCTAACCTGAGTCAGGGGACCTGTCCTGGTCTGGAGTATTTGTCCTTGTCATTTTTAGCCTACAGAGTCTCTTCACTTGGCGCTCAGTCAGGACCCTAGGAAGTGAGACTGAGGCTTTGTTTGCTTTTGGTTTAAGGTACCACAGAGGAAACCTTTTCTAATCTAATCTCCCGGTGTTGCTGTGGAGGAAAGGCTTCCTCAGCCTGTTGCCAGGCAACTCCCCAGGGACATCTTGACTCTGTTGCCAGTGAGGTATCAGCTTAGGAGGTGGCACTTTGCCATCCACTTGTCTCCAGGAGTGCTGCCGGAACATGGCTTCCGTGTGGCAGGTCCTTGTCACCTGCGCAGAGGTATCTCTCTGGGGCATTGACCCTGGAATCAGATAGGTTGGTGCCTAAAATTGTGCTGTCATGATACTGGTGACATAAACTCATGCTTCACGGCTTTCTTCCAAAAATAGCACTGACATTTTGTCCCCACCTTCAATAACTTTTCAAACTGGATGTGTGTACTGCAAAGAGGATGCTGTGTCAGCGTTACTAGGTAAGCATACTGCAATAATTATTTTTATTGTTTTAGAGTCTGTAGCTCGTTCAAGCAAACTGCTGGGGTGGTGCCAAAGGCAGACAGATGGCTATGCAGGGGTAAATGTGACAGATCTCACCACGTCGTGGAAGAGCGGCCTGGCCCTGTGTGCCATCATCCACAGATACCGCCCTGATCTGATGTAAGTCATGACCAGTTTTGTGTTTCATTTTATCTTCACCAAGGATCCCAGAGCCCCTTATGTGAATTGCATGCCTTTTCCTAGTTTGGGCTGCATGGTAAAATGCTTTCTCTAGAGAAGGCCAGGATTTTTACTTACTTGTATTTAAAACTCAATCCCCAAAAAAGTTAGCTTTAAAAAATCATAGCATGCGGAAGGTCAAAAACAGGTTTTAACACCCACCTGGGCCTGTTAACTTTGCACAAAGGAAAACTGTTTATTGGCCCCGGGTTGAACTCTTCATTTTTGGCTAGCTCTCTCTCAGATGCTATTGATCACAAGGGAAACCTGGCGAGAACACTTGGCTAGCTCAACCCAACAGAAAACAATAGATATGTACCTGATTTATGATGGTCTCCTCGGGCGTTTTCTCTGTTAAGGAGTGTGCTTTTGCAAGTGTGCCCCTGAGCTTCAGGAGACGTCATCTTACCTACTGTCCCTCTGACAGCCATCATTCACTCCTCTGTCGACAGAATCAGCACAGAGTGGCCTTGGGTCAGCCTCATGAACAAAGCATTCAGGCTCTTGTTACTATGGAAGCCAAACAGTGAGAGGCAGCAGCAGAAGCTGGGGATTTTCTTGGCTGCCTTCTTTTTTATCATTAGGTCCACTCAAGGGTTCAGGTTTTGCCCATTGTTTTAATGCTTGGCTAAGGAAATCCTAAAAGACATAGTCCCTGTTCTGTGATGATAGCGAGGAATGATGGATGCAAGAGGTAATAAAGCCAGCCTCGCATGGTGTAGATTAACAGCGAGGACCATGTGTAAGGCTCTGGGTTTGATCCCCACTACCACAAAACAAAACAACCGTGGCCAGGCTTGCCTGCGATCTCGGCCTTGGGCGGCTCACGCAGGAGAGTTGAGTTTCAGATCGAAACTGTCTCCTAAAATGAATAAATAAATAAATACGGAAAGGTGGGAGCGTAGCCTTTGCCCAGCAGACACCCATCAGGCTTTAGTTCAGTTCCCAGGCAAAATGAAAAGAAGGGGCAAATTTCTGATGTAAAATAAATGACCTCTGATGCTCGTCTAAAAGTTGGTTTAAAAAAAAACAAACTAAATGAAAGTAGTTTTGTCATTTGCACCAGAGAAGAGGGGTGAGGAGAGAGAACAGCCGTGTGGCATGACAGGGTTTCTGAAGCTGGGGTGGGGGGTCAGTTCCATCTCAAGGGGACAGCAAGGAAGAGAAGGAGGTAGGAGGCAGCTGGGGGTGGGATGGAGTCTGGGTAGAGGGTCCTGTTAGAACACCCTAAGGTGGCCTGCAGAAGGCCTGAGGGCGGTCAGGGAGTGCGTGATTCAGCACTGCTGGGACTCTCTTCAGGATGAGTGTTCGTGGTTTAATGGGCTTAATCTAAGAGAAAAGTAATTTGTTTTTAATAGGAAAAAAAAATTCATGAGGTCAGTAGGTTAACACGAGGTAAGGGATGCCAGGATGGTGAAATCAACTGAGAAAGCCATCCTCTGAGTAGTGAGAGCGAAACCTGGGGCGGGGTGGGGGTGGGGGCGTGGGGAGTGGGGGGTTGTTGATTAATGGAGATGGCTGGGAAAGCTCAGAGATTCAGCAGTGGAGAAACCTTTGAAGGAGGTTTTAGAATCTCCCCTCAGGAGAAAGTTTAATAGAATTTACGAGAGCTGTTAGGGCAAGCGACAGTCCCAGGACATTGGGAATCAATCCAGACAGGGTTATGTCACTGTTGGACGTTAGTTTTTTTTTTTTTTTTTTTTTTTTTTTTGAGACAGGGTTTCTCTGTGTAGCTTTGCGCCTTTTCCTGGAACTCACTTGGTAGTCCAGGTTGGTCTCGAACTCACAGAGATCCGCCTGGCTCTGCCTCCCGAGTGCTGGGATTAAAGGCGTGCGCCACCACCGCCCGGCGGACGTTAGTTTTTTATGTATTTGTGGCCAGGCACATACTAAGATAGCTCCCATCCCGAGCTGACATCACAGTAAGGAGTTGGCGTCCCTGGAAGATGCAAGTTGTCTCCCCCACACACACCTCCTCTTACCCCCTCCCCGTTCATCTAGATGGGCAGATCTCTAATCATTTCCCCCCTGAAGGTGTTGTGCATTTCCCTAGTCAGGAGGGAAGAATGGGGGATGAGAAAAGCCCATCTGCTCTCGGGTCCAGGGATGATGCCGGACTCCCTGGACCTTAGCCCGGGGACTGAGAAACGGCAGCGGTACCCAGTACTGTGTATGGATGGAGAGCAGTGAGCCCAACGTGATCCACCTCTCCTTGTCGTACTTCTCAGAGACTTTGATTCTTTGGACGAGCAGAATGTGGAGAAGAATAACCAGCTGGCCTTTGACATCGCCGAGAAGGAGCTGGGCATCTCTCCCATCATGACAGGCAAGGAGATGGCTTCGGTGGCCGAGCCCGACAAGCTCTCCATGGTGATGTACCTCACGCAGTTCTACGAGATGTTCAAGGACTCACTCTCCTCCAGCGGTAAGGACCCGAGGCCCGGGGCTGGGATCCTGGCCTGCTGCTGCTGTCTGGTCAGCAGGGAGGTCTCTAGAACCTTGCTTCACACGTTCCTTCTCAGCACAGTGTTCTTAACCCTCTGCTGTTTTCAAAATCGTCCTCCCTTTACCCATAAGTATGCAAAACTGATCTGTCCGAAGCTTTTTTCCTTGACTCCGCCACCTCCCCCCAGCCTCTCTCAGACCCATCCCTTCTGCCAGAGTGGCTCCTGGTGAACTTGGAAGTTCCTTGGAATACTGCTTCTCTTTAGAGAACTTTGCCTGGACAGCCCTGTGTCCTTGCAAAGAATCTTCCCAATCCAAGTTCTTTTCTTGTTCTCACCTCTTTATTTATTTTTTCATCTTTTAGTGTGTGTGTGTGTGTGTGTGTGTGCATGTGTATGCGTGTGCGCATACGTGTGTGGTTGCTCCTAGGGTCTCATGAACATCAGTCAAGCTCCTTACACCAGAGCTACGTGCCTAGGCCTGTTTCTCATCTTGTAGACTTGGTATTTCTCCAGTCAGCACTCCGCAGTGATGTCCCTTGGTACTCTCTCATGGTCACAGTGTCTGTGATGCTGTGTTTTACTGGGTTTTCAGTTACTTGTCCCTCTCTGGCTTCCCTTGTACCATCTCCTTCTTAGAGATTCCCAGATGTCTCCTTGGTCCTCCCTCAGCCTGCTGCCTCAGCCAGCACTCAGTAGGGCTATATAACGTCTTCCTGTGAAACTCATTCTAGTTTCCTGTTCTGTTGCTGTGATGAAAACTGACCACAAGCAAGTGAGGGGGGAGGGGAGGACGTTTACTTGGCTTTCACTTCCAGGTCACAGTCCATCATTGAGGGAATTGGAGTGGGAACTCAAGCAGGAACCTGAAGGCAGGAACCGTGGAGGGACGCTGTTTGCTGATTTACTCTGGTTCATTTGCTCACAGGCTTATGGTTAGCCAGCTCTACAGCCCAGGGCCACCTGCCTAGGGATAGTACCACCTACAGTGGGGCCGGGTCCTCCCGTATCAGTGGGTAATCAGGACAATCCCCCAGGCCAATTTGATCTAGGCAATTACTCAGTCACGTTTCCTCTCAGACGACTCTAGGTGACGTCAAGTTGACAGTTGAAGCTACCTAGGACACTACTTATGGTCACGGAAGCACTGTGCTCAGAGTGTTGGCCAGTGTCTGACCTGGGTTCTGTTCCAGCGTTTCCGCTTTCCAACCTTGGACAGATTGCTAAGTTTCCTTACACTTCAGTCTCCCTGTGTGTAAAAAGAGAGTGATGGATATAATAATGCTGTTTTGTACTAAGAATGGCAAGTGAGCATTGAATAAATGTTAGCGATTCTCAAAATTGCTATCATTATTAGTATACTATTAGATGGCTCAGTGGATTTACCACCAGATAGTAAGAGTCTGAACCTGAGTTCAGTCCCCAGAGCCCACAGAGAGGCAGGAGGAGAAAACTGACTCCACAAAGCTGCCCTTGAACCCTAGCACATGCTTGGGACATGTGTGCCCCCCCCATAATAACAATAATAAATCCACAGTTAATGGTGCCCTCACAGCGTCTTCAAGCCAGTGTGCCCTTATCCAGGACCTGTGTCTTTCTCTAGCTGGATATGCATTTCTTACAACACAAACCCTGAACCCTGAGGAGCCCTGTTCATTGAGAACTCCTCTTCAGACACAGCTAAGAACAGGGCCTCTGCAGCACCCCCAAACTGACAGCCCTATGTCTCATCCCCCTCAACCCTCCACCCCAACCTGAAGTTTTCTTTCTCAAAATTTAACTTTACCAGTCTGCTGTGATAGTTCCAGGCAGAGTCCACCCTTTCCAGAGTGGAAGTGTGGGTCGCTGCACCTGAAGTGTAAGGAGTGGGGTGGTTTTGTGGATGTGGATGGAAAAGAAAGTGTTTAGGCCGAAGCATGCGTTTCCTTTCTGATGTTTTCTGTGGCTGTGCATGCTCATCTGTCTTCGTTGGTAGCCCCGCAGAGTCTGTGAGCCTCCTTCCTCCAGTTCCCTGTAAGGGAGCGTGGTTCCGGTCAGGACTTTGTGGCGCTGTCCTAGGTAAACATTGCTCACTCCTGTCCACAGACACCTTGGACCTGAATGCAGAGGAGAAAGCCGTCCTGATAGCCAGCACCAAATCCCCCATCTCCTTCCTGAGCAAGCTTGGACAGACCATCTCTCGGAAGCGTTCTCCCAAGGTATGTGCACACAGAGTCACATTCATGTGGCTGCGGAGCTAATGGCAAAGGAAGGTGACCAGGCTAATGCTGTCTGTGTCTTCTTGTGGTGCAGGATAAAAAGGAAAAGGATTCAGATGGGGCTGGAAAGAGGAGAAAAACCAGTCAGTCAGAGGAGGTAAGCTTCATCTCGGTTTGTCAGAACTGATTGCTCTGAATTATCCTTTTTGGTTTAAGGGTTTGGTGTGTGTGTGTGTGTGTGTGTGTGTGTGTGTGTGTGTGTGTGTGTGTGTGTGTGTGTGTACATATGTGTTCCTGTGTGAGTTTATGTGCATCATGTATGTGGAGACCAGAGAGCATGGGGTTCCCTGGAACTAGAGTTGCAGGTGGTTATGAGCTATCTCCTGTGGGTTCTGGGAATAGAACCTGGGTCCTGTGCAAGAGCAGCAAGCACTCCTAACTACTGAGCCATCTCTGGCCACCTGGTTTAAGTTATTAATTCTCAAATGGGTATTGCTAGATTTTTTTTTTTTTTTAAGATTTATTATACATACAGTGTTCTGTCTGCATGTGTCCTTGCAGTCCAGAAGAGGGCACCAGATCCCGTTACAGATGGTTGTGAGCCACCATGTGGTTGCTGGGAATTGAACTCAGGACCTCTGGAAAAGCAGTCAGTGCTCTTAAACTCTGAGTTATCTCTCCAGCCCCAGTATTGCTGGTATTGCTAGATCTTTACGTCGTCATCTGTTATGAGGGTTTCTCTGTCCTTTTGCCTCTGTTTCATTTTCCAGAAACCAGCAGGGAATGTGCACACACATGTGCTCAGGCTTTCGCTCCATGGAATCACACATTTGGCAAAGCGAAGTGGCTTTGCTGAGATCTGGTGATGCCAGCACAAGTCTGTGTGCCCCGTGGTGCCCTGCATCCTGGCACCTCGCTAACTCTGCACATCAGAACTTTGCAGGGTGCTGTTAAGCAACCTGAACTGCCGTTCAGTTCCTGCCCACACGCTGAGAGAAGAGCATCGGCATCTCCGTGACCCGTCCTGACTCTTGGGTGCTTTCTGTTGGGCAGGAGGAGCCTCCCCGGAGCTACCGAGGAGAGAGGCCCACCCTGGTGAGCACCCTGACGGACAGGCGAATGGATGCTGCCATTGGGAACCAGAACAAAGTAAAGTATATGGCAACCCAGCTGCTGGCGAAGTTCGAAGAGAATGCGCCTGCACAGTCCACTGGTGTAAGGAGACAGGTAAGCTCAGCTTCTGGACGGGCCATGCCACAGACCCCGGCACTCGGGGGCCAGGCTCGCTCTTGTCTAAGTCTTACACATCCAGGGCTGCACTGGCTTCCCCTCCGGTCTCCGGAGTCTATGACCAGAATCAGTAGAGGGATCTAAAAATTACTTGTTTGGATGACTGTAAACCCATGTATATGTTCACACACATACCTGCTGAGTTACAAAGGAAGCTTGTAGCTGGAGTGGTGGTGTAAAAGCAAGGCTTGGGAAACTGCGGCAAGAAGACTGTGAGTTCAAGGCTAACTTGAGCTACATGATGGTACACTATCTCAAGAAAAGAAAAAGAAGAATATGACTTATTGAAGGAACTCTGAAAAGTATAATAGAGGTGATTAAGGCACCTACAATTCTATTCATTTTGCCGCATTTCTTCCTGGGCTTTTTCTCAGGACATTCTTGTTTTCATGGTGGAGACCATTCTGAGGGCACACTTCCTTGGATTCCGCCTTTTGTGTGTTTTTGCCCACGGCCTACCCCTGTGTCTTCTCAGCTCACAGGCATCTGCAGAGTGTGTGTACACTGTGCTAGTCCCCGTCTCCAACTGTGGTGGGTGTTTTAGTTGCTTCTCCCGTGATAAGATATGAAGGTATCCATCCTTGCTTCTGTGAGCTAAGATTCTGGCCCGGGAATGTGAGCCATTCAGGTGGAGACTTATGGAGACACAAGTCACGTGTCAGAGGCCGGCAGCACCTGGCCTGGAGTGTCCATGTCACGTCTTGTCTCTCCCTTGCTCTGCAGATGTCACTAAGCCTCTTTAAAGAGAAGGGGCTCGCGTTTTGACTTCTCTTTGAAATGGCTTACAACGCTCCCTGATACGGAAAGAGCACCGGGCACGTTCTCTTTCTTCATCTTCTCCGTACTCACAGGCCGTGGCTCCCGTAGGTCCGGAAGCAGCCATGAGTTTGCTCCTCACACCGGGCTTTGGGCTGGTGTCTGCCCTCCTGACTTCCTGACATGTTGTAGCAGGGATGGTAGCATTCATTCCCTAGAGCAGTGGAGCTTGCTGCGCCCTGCCGGCCCCACGTCAGGAGGCCAGAGCGCCCTCCAGTGGAAGGCTGCCTCTGCAAGAAGTTTGCCTTCCTAGTTTTCCAAATCAGATAGTCGTCTAGACCCCAGAGAATTCAGTTTGGTAAAAGGGTAACAAGAATCACAGCTGGGGGGCCAGGCCGCAGTGGTGCCACCTTTAATCCCAGCACTCGGGAGGCAGAGACAGGGGGATCTCTGTGAGTTCGAGGCCAGCCTGGTCTGCAGAGCGAGATCCAGGACAGGCACCAAAGCTACACAGAGAAACCCTGTCTCAAAAAAACAAAAAAAAAAAAATCACAGCTTGGTTTCCTCTCCTCACCCTCTCCTTTTATCCCTCCCTGTGTTTGCACTTGCTTTTGGTTTGGGGGAGGCTACTATCTTTCCTTTATTTATTATTTTTGTAACTTTCTAAGGGTTAACTTAGCCTGCCCCTCACAGTGTACGGACAGATGTCTGTCCTTCACAGGTACCTTTTTCTGTCTTCTCCTACCTTACTGGATTTTATTTTGTTTTGTCTCCATGTCCTGCCCCCGCTCTCGCGTGGCCTGTGCGTGTCATAGCCGACACAAAAGCGTGGGCTCAGCCAGCCGTCCCGCTGCCTGCCTGCGCAGGGCCACCCTGCTCCCATCCCCCAGTGGAAACAGGTAAAAGAATGGCTAGGGTTTTAGCAGGGCCACCCCTGGCTTTCCACCCCCGGCTTTCCACCCCGCCTCTGCTTCTGGCCTCCCCGAAAAGCTAGCTCACCGAGGCAGGAAGGCGCTGCACTGCGCCAGTCGTCTTTGGGGGACATTTGACAGACGATGCTGGTCTGAGTCTGTGGTCGCATTTACTCCCTGGGTTCGAGGCCCCTCTTAGGAAGGCTGTTAACTCGGTATTGAAGGCGACTGGTGTCATGTGGGAAGGCGTCACAGTACTTGAGCCCTTGGGTCTTTGCTCTCGTGACGTTCCTGCCAGATTGGCCTTTTAGTAGCCTGTTTCTGTGTGACCTGCGTCGTGCCTGAGAACGGGTTTGTGCCTTTCGTGTGAGGCAGGAAATATGCCTGGGAAAGTAGTCCTGAGCTGTGGACTTGTTTCTTTCAGACCTGTACAAAAATGTTTATGGGTTGAGTTTTTTGATTTTTGGTTCTTTTTTTTTCTCCTTGGAATTTTGTCCACATCTTTTAGTGGGGGGCTTAGGAGCCGTGGCTGTAGCTCAATGGGAGGACGTTTGCCTAGCTTCCTGAGGCCCAGGGCTCCATCTGCCACCCCAAAACAACACACAAAAGACTTGTGGGGATTTCCACCAAACCTTTTCAGGACTCCTGGAGAACTGCTTATCTGACGGTCAGAACAGGAGGGACCCACGCCTCAGGCAGAGGAGACTGGTCGGTGGGTGGGAAGCAGCTTCCCGTGCGTCCCTTCTGTTGTGGGTGAGCGGTTCATTGCTGGGGCAGGGTGCTGGATGAGCATGTGTCACTTTGCTTGGGCAGGGTGAGCTGATCCTGGGTTCTCTTAGCTTCTCCGTCGGCCCGCCTCACCAGCTCTGGTGGCCGGAAGTGCTGGGGAATGGGGAGGTGGGTGTTACAGAAATTGCATTTTGAAGAAAATGCTCCTTTCTAACCTTGTAATGATATACACGTGGGAGGCAGGGCCCAGGAAGGGAAAAAGAGAATGTTGGAGCAATGTCCAGACTCACTGCAGGAGCCAAATTTCCTGCCTCAGTAGGAGTCACTTCATAGAGGAAAGCCTTCTGAAAAATGCCATCAAGCATTTGTTTGTTTGTCTGTTTTTATCTTTTGCTCGTAGTCTGGATGGAAGGGAATGGGTGAACTGGTTTGAAGTTCGGAAGTGTAAAGTCTTCTTCTTCCCAGAGAAGGCCTGAGATAGAACAGAACAGCAGGAAGGTCGGGTGTCACCTGCAGGTGGGGACATAGGTGGCTTTGTGTGCGGCCTGTGCTGGTGCAGCTTTGTTGGGCTTCTGGGAAGGAGAGGGCAGTGTGTGTAGCTCAGGGAGCCTGCTGGGTGTCGGCCTCTGTCCTGGTGAAGATCAGTCCGGCAGCTTGAAAGGTCGCCTGGAACCTGGTTATACCCAGGCTGCTCACAAGGCCCAGTAGCTCATAGTGTTATGCCGAGACTCGTGTGGACGCTGGGTCTTCTCCTGCCTGTTGAGCTTGTTGCCATCAGTGAAGTAAGCTACCGGTAGCCGTAGCGGGTGGCGTGGAAGATGGCGTGAGCCTTGGCACCCTTGAGCAGCGGAAATGCTTTAGATCAGTAAGTGCTTTAGGCTTCTTCGAGTTGGGAATGACAGACTTCAGGGCCTGTACAGGCGGCACTGATACACTGTGCCCCACGTTTTGTTCGGGTGGAATGTCGAACACTCACATATCCATCATTTTTCAACTCTACCTCATGGGTTTGGCCCTCTAGATGTATCTTCTGGAAGCTAGAGATGTGCTTAGACGCTCCCAAGAATGGGAACTCAGAGCCCCGGTGCCTGGGCTGCTGCTGGCTGGCCACTCGCCTCCAGCAGACAGCACCTTACTGTGACTCACTGTGTGTGTCTCTTGAAGTGGCTCCTACTGAGACGGGAGGCGTGGCAGGTGTGGCATCCATGGCAGAGTTGGCACGAGGTCCTGTTCTGACTTAGGTCATCGTGTAGAGAGAGGAAAATGGATCACAGCCCTGCTTGCCAATGGTTTTGGGCTGTTCTTTCCAGTGTAAACACTGCAGCTCGTCCTTTGCCCTTCCCCTCCCCTTTTCCTTTTGATCTCAAAAGTACGTCCTGCAGATAAACTGCACATGAGCCAGCTTGGGTTTGGAAGCAGATTGTCATGGGAGGTGGGAACACACAGTGGACATGTTTCTCTGACCTTAGAGCTGCCCCAGGCCTCCCCACCCCCACCCTCTTCCCGGCACAGCAGACTGGGTAAAGGAAGCTGAGGATCTTCTGGATGGTACCAGAGAGGTCCAGGGTAATGTCAAATACCAAGAAGCATCTTTCTTGAACTATGAGCTGAACCACAGAGTACATGTGGTACAGGCAGATCAAGGGATGAACATTCAGTTAGGGCTTAATTTGTAGACCTGTTTCCTGGCATTTCTTTGTAGTTTTCAGAACTCTTGCATGTGAGTGAGGGGCTTAAGAAAGCGAGCCGTTGATGGGACGTGGCCACAGATGGCTTGGGGGGAGACATGCTTTGCCCTGGTGTGACCTGGCGTGCGGAGGTCATGTGCTATCCTGGGTGGGCCCATCTGCCTTTTCTCTCCACTTACGATCAGATCCATTTCTGTGCCCCAACTTCTCTGATAAAGCCCTTGACCCTTGGCATTCGAGAGCATCACTCCCAAGTTCTCACCAGCTGTGAGGTTTAAGTCTCCGGTCCAACCTGAGAGACAAAAGATTGTGATGGGGGCCACCCCTGAACACAGAGTGAGGAGCTGTGGAGGGTGGATGGTCAAGGAAGGGCCCTCTTGGGATGCTTTGCAAAGGTGCAAATACTCCTCACCCCTCCCAGGAGCAATCTCCACGAGGCCCCGTTTCAACGGTGTTCTTTCTTGTTTGTGTCTGTTGGTGTAAAAGCGACAGGAAAAGGAGCGTGCTCGGACCTGCCCCAAAAAAGTGATCACTCTCTCTCCTCCCCCTACTCCACCTTCCTGCCGGGCTCGAAGCGTTCAGCAGGTGATCCTCTGCATGCTCTATGTCCTGTCTGTACTCCTACTTACGCTGTGCATGTAGGGAACCACCTCAGTAACCCCTCTTTTCGAGGCTAAGTTTTTAGAAGATCACAGGTAGCAAAAGCAGCCTTCATTACTACAATGGAACTCTTCCTGTTGGGACCTCAGGACAGGGCCCTGTGCATTCAAATCCTGCGTGCTCTGGTCGAGTCCCTATCACGGGAGGACAGCCAGAAACCAGAGCATGAGCGATACTCACCTCAGACCCAAGGCCCCTGAGCCCCAGGAAGCACACATTTCTGTAGGACCCCACTCAGAGTGGCCATGTTTCTTCTTTTGCTGCCCTACGTGGTGCAGTCAAGATGTGCACAAGAAAGCTTCGTATGGCCTCCCTGCACGGGTTTGGTTCCTGGTGACGCTGACAGCCTGTTCTCTGGCTCATAGAGCTTCTTCTAACCAGCCCAGCCACCCTCCCCCACTCCAGGCAGATCACTGAAGAGCTGCATTGAGAGCTGCCACCGCCGCCGGCGGCCACGTGGCTGTCATCCCACACAAACACACGTTTATGGTGGACACACCTGTATAGTGTGCACAGAGAATGGCTTGCTGACCCTTGAGCTGAAGCGCTATAAAATAACAGGGCACGATTGGTGAAAGGGTATTTTCATAATGAAGATAACGTACCTAAGAGATGACCACTAATGATGCATCTGGTGTTGCAGGCCTTCCTCACGCCCCCAGGCCTAAGAACTGAGACATGGTGGCTGTTGTGACTGCCCAGGGCCTTCTAAATAAGAGCTCGACGTTTTGAGCATTTGTTCTGCCCCACACGGTATTTCAGCCAGGTCTCGCAGTAACTGTGGGGCAGGGGCCACCCTCGTCTCCACTTAGAGCCTGAGGAATAGGGTGGAGAGGCCAAGGAGTTGTGCAAGACTCCAGGTGAGCAACGGGCCGAGCTGAAGGGAGCCGTGAGAGGTCTGGAGGCAGGCTCCGGGCTCCTGCTGCCTGTGGCAACATGTCGAGGGTACTGGATGAGGGCAGCCACCAGGGACGTTGGCTTCCATTTCCCAAGGATGAACGTCGCCGGTTATCCTTAGTGGGCATCACGGTCTTCCTGTCCCCATAATTACCATCTTAGGTCTTTGCTCCGTTCACTGAAGCAGCCCCGTGCCTGTCCTAGGGTTTTCCACGATCTCACACTCGTCTGTTAACTGAGAGTGCTTTCAGTCTCCACACTCTTCTCCCAGCAGTAAACTGTGCCTTGCTCCCAGGTTCCTACTTAGGGCCTCCTCCTCCCCACCCCGGAGTTTCCTCTGAGCTCTGTCACGGCCCTTTGTTCATCCAGTTTCCACCTCCCCACCTTCCTTGCTGAGGTCTTGCTGTGGAACGCTTCCCTGCCAACCTGCCTTCCACTGCATGCCTCCAGTCTTCCGCCACTGTGTGAAAGACACGTCTGTTCCACCTTCGTACTAACCGTGGCTCTTTGTCTGTGGAGGGGCCTCATTGGAGGCAGGCGGAAGGCCATACAGAGCATTCCATGTCCCCGACCGTGGAATTCGATGCAGGCGGGATTGTGGACAGGTGGCTGGGGAAATCTGGGGGTGGGGATATCCTTGCCTAAATTTCCCACTGGTACCTGGTGGGTCCAAATGGAGTTGGGATGGAGCTTAAGTTTCTACTTTTGCCAACAGATGTACAGGGATCTTCATGCTGGCAGCCGTGGCAAGCAGAATCCCCACCATGAGAGGGTAAAAAAGCATGAGCCTGTGGCATGGGAGGCTGAGAGCCGACAGTCGGGCACGCTGTGTGGTGGGGCAGGGGAAGGGAGCATGGAGACCAGTCCCTTCTCCCCGCTTTTTGCTCACTTGTCACCCAGCCAAGAGCTAGAACTCTCTGTGAATGGCGTTGACCCGCACAGGAGCATTAATGGCGGGCGGAGTGTCCGTCTGTGTGAAAAGCCTTCAGACTGGTGGCTCATCCTGGTGCTCTCGTTGTGGCACCGGGCCTTAGTGGGTTTCCGGTTTGTTCTCCAATCCCATTCCAAGACCTTACTGCTTCTACCCCCATACCCCCACTGTAGGCGCCAGTGGCCGAAAGGTTTGAAAATCGGAGAGCAGTGGGAGAGGGAAGCCTCGGGCCCGACAGACAGTGGATTGGACAGTCGTGGCTCTTGAAATAGAAATACTGAGAGGAAGTGAGGCTCTTGCCAGAGTTTTGGGGAAGAAGGCAGTGACGGGGCGGGGGGTGCTTAATGAGAAGCCGTAGTTGATTTCTTCTGACAAACCCCAGAGGCGTCATCACGGGGCAGAATGGGCCGTGGTGCCATTTGTTTTTCAATGACCGTGATGATGAAGCCCCTCGCCTACTTGTTCATGAAGATTTCGGCATTGATCCTGTCCTTAAAGATCTCAAGTGAGCTGGTGATCTTGCAGCTCGTTGGTCATTTCATAGCCGCCCGCTCCCTGCCTTTGCTCTCTGAGAACTGCGTTGAGGACCTCTTGGGGCATTAGCGAACAGATGTTAGCACCATCTTCTCTGGCCCAGACTCCTGGCAGGGCGGGATCAGAGAGAAGTAGGATTGCGTTGGAGGTGGCCGGCCTCCCTGCCCCCCTCGTCACCAGCTCTGCTTTACTGCTGCTTGGTAGGGGAGCTGGTGTGGACCTGGCATCCACTGCCTCTTCCTTCTTCCCAGACCTTACCATAGTCCTGTCTATATAAGTAAGGGAGCGCAGGGTAGTGCCCTACACCGTGGAGAGCGCACACTCAGTGAGGTGTCGGTGGTTTTAATAAACAACATCTGAAAAGGAATCGAGAAGTATGTTGGGCTAAAGGGAGCTTGGCCAGAAACCGTGTGAGGTCCAGAACTGGGGTGCCCAGGGTCATAGCCGAAGTGGCAATGCAGCATACAGGGAGTTGGTGTCTGTCGATTTCTTAGTGCGGGGCTCAGGTTAGATACTGGGGTACTGCTTACTTCTCTCCCGGCCTTCTCCCCACTCCAGACCGCTGTTCGTGCACGGCCTCACCCTGTAGCTCACCTTCACTCAGCTCCCCACCTTGACTGCCCCACCTTGCAGCAGGGTGGTCCCTCACCTCCTTTTCGTGAATGTTAGCAGTCCACAGAGTTGTCGCTCCTTGTTCTGGGTTCAGATGGCTGACCCCATCCAGGTGCTGAACTCAGGGCCGGGAAGCTGGCTGGATGTCTGGAGCAGAGGGTAGGGGATTCCCAGACACCTGCCGCTCTGCCTGTCACTGCCGTGACACTGAAGGGCCAACCAAAATGGGGGTGCAGCGGGTCTCCTTGGAGCCTGGGCCGTACCTCTGTCCTTCCTGTCCTGTAAGGGTTTTATCCTGAATGTGGTGGGAAATGAAGAAACAATTGTCCAGGCTGTCAGTCGCCTTCTCTCTGCTAGCTCAGCGTTGAGGAAGACCCTGGACACTTGCTGCACCAGCTGAAGCCGGTCTCAGAAAGACGGGGGGATTTCGATCTAGTCCCTGGGTCACTGTTTGCAGTTTGTCTGGCTCCTGAGCAAGCACAACTGCCCCGAGCACTGATTTTAGAAGGAGCGTACCTGAGTTCTGGCCATAGGGAGGCACGGAGAAGGCCGTGGCCACTCTCCACGGGACAAGAGCACCCCCGCCCTAGCAGAGGATGGTGAGGTTCCCGGTCCTGCTCTTATCACTGTCAGGAGAGGACCGGAATGGGTGTGAGATGTCTCTGCCAAGGAGCAATCCCTGCAGGTCAGCGAGGGCTCTGGGAGAAGGGTGTCACCTGTCTAACAGGAGTGACAGCCGCAGAGGGGGTAACCTGGTGGGAGGACCGAGCCAAGGTGCCTGAGGCTTTCGTCAGTGCTCAGTAGGGAGACAGGCTCCAGAGACAGTTAAGCATGGGGGAGGAGCAAGTGGGAAGCAGAAGGGAGCCATAGGTGAAGTGCGTTTGCTTCTGGGAACTGCAAGGCCTGCTCTCTCTACCATATTCATACACCGCTAAAGAGCCAAACCGTCTGAACCCCCGATTTCCTGTGTTTGCGGTGTGACTTTTAACATTGACTGTGCTCTTTTTCTCCACCTTGTATTTTATAGCCAGAGCCCGAGCCTTCGCGTCGATTTTTTGTTGACCAGTGGGAGCTCTCGCGTAGTCTCCGCTCCTCCACCCGCCCTGCCTCTCCCTCCTCTGACTCCCTCCGACAGGTAGCATGGCCCGGACTTGGCACAACCATGTTCTCCTGCAGCCTCTGCTCACTCTGTTTCCACAGGTGTCACCCACCTGAGGGAGGCTGGGAGGTCTCCTCCGCCTTTGCCTGGCTCCTCAGAAGCTGTGTGTACACGCGCGCGCGTGTGTGCGCGGGCGCGCGTGGGTGTGTGTTGCCACAGACGCCTGTATTAAAGAGGCCGCTAGCTTTCTTGGAGTGTTTTCACACATCACAGCCTGTCCGAGTGAACCCACTGTTAAACCACGTCCGATGTTGATAGCATTTTTCAACCTTTGCCTGAAGACTGCGTTTTTTCCGTAGTCACGAGCTACAGAATCTGAACCGTTTCGTCACTAACTTTCCTGAGTAAAATAGTGAGCACACAGCATTCTTGGTGCTTCCTCATGTGTGGCATGAAGCCTGCTTTTCCCCAGTGACCCCCATCCGGTGCCGAGGAGTTTGTTAGCAGTGTGCGTGTGTGTACGCGCTCGCGTGCGCGGAAGCCTGTGCATGTGTGTGGTGTGCAGTGGGCTAAGCCTAGCGGTTGCTACTCCTTGGCTCCCTTCTGAGTGTGGGAAGAAGGAAACCATCTGCTTTCCATGCCGGAAACAAACAGAACTTGAGTCTTCACCCCTCTGGGGGATGCTTGTCAGAGTTGCTACCTCCCCAAGAACTGACAGGTGCCTCTGCCTGCACAGCCCCGGCCATGCCTGCCGAGGTGACGGTCTCTGGTCCTGAGTGCGCACAGTGGGGCTAGGACCGCCCGCGGTGTGCTGGCACTTGGCCATCTGCTCTACAGAGTGACGGCCATGCGACTTCCCTTTGAGGGCTGCTCTCCCAGGAGATCTATTCTCTCGTTTCTGCTGTCCTCTCCCGGGTGTCCGCCTGTCTAAGAGACTGTGGAACTGGCCGGTAAAACCAGTCCTAGGAAATCTCTTTAGCTGAAGTGGAGAATGAGATGGATTGCTCAGTTCCAGCCAGGCTTTAGCTGAGCCCAGTGAGAAGTCTTTGCTCCAGCGTGTCTGTTCCCAGACTTAGAGAGTTGGCCCCGAGAACCTGCACGTGCTGCTGCTTGGGCCGGCAGCCCTCTTACATGTGGCTCTGCAGGTTTGTCCCTTGTGGCCACTTACCGGGGGATTTGGCCATCTTTGGGGCAGCTGCACCTGGATCAGAGTTGGTGACAAACTCTCCCACTTGGCTGGGAGCGTGCTTTATTTCCTGCCGTGAGAGGTGTGGCACCCTCTGTCCCCATCCAGAGACCTGGCTCCCAGGTCTCTAAAAGACTACCCACAGAACTATAGTCCCAGGCCAGGATCCAGGCTGGGCCACAGGGTGTCAGGCCTCTGAGCAGGGTGGCTCACCATGCAGACGTGGGCGTTTTTCCTGTTTTTTGCTTCAGCATTGCCAAAAGGGGGACTGAATTAGTTTGATTTGTGTGTGTTGGGGGAAGAGGTTAGACTGTCTCGCTGTTTATGTAGTCCAGGCCAGCCCCGAATCCATGGCAAGCAATCCTCCCGCCTTAGCCTCCTCCCAAGTGGTAGGATTACAAATGTGTGCCACCATACTCTGCTCTCGGTTTTGTCTTCATTTGTCACTGTTCATCTTTAAGAACAATTCTTCCAGGGTAAAAGGAGCCATTTCCTTTAGGATGTAGCATGGGACTTGGTGTCCCACCTGATCTGGGAGAATTCTAGCCTCCGCGTATGGGTAGACGAGCGCTGTCTTTCTGCTCCCAAAGCCCCCCCCCCCATCAGTGGGGAAGTGACCAGAGGAGGCTTCTTCCCAGAGTGGTCAGCTGTATGGAGCAGACACTGTGGGTCTGGCAGTGAGGCAGGGGGTCACCAGCAATGCCAGAACTCTTTGCACCTGTTGCTCACATGGGACATTAACCTCTGCCAGAGTCTGCCTGGTTTCTTTCTCAGCCTAGGTAGTCACCTCATTCACAGAGCCCCCTGGGCCCTCTCCTGGCTCTGGACACTGTAGCCCCCTGCCTGCTGTGGACCCCTCACACTCTGTGAGTCCAGGAGCAGGCCCCCTCTTTCTCCTCCGTGTCCTCAGAACTGGACTCTTGGAGAAACACGAAGGACCAGGTTCTTCCCGTGGAACACTTGTCTCCACGACTGCTTCTCGTGCGTGTGCTGACCACCGTGTGGACGCTGGCACCAGCGCTTGCTCACTGCCCAGTCTCTGCTTGTGGGCACTGTGTTGGCATGGTTTGCTCTTGCACTGTGTATTCATTTCACACCTCTCAAAGATGTTTTCCCCTGCCTCCTTAATTTAATTTTTTTTTCCTTCTCATTTCCCTTCATTTTGATCATTCTGTAATCTTCAACCAATAGAAGTATATAAAGATGTACACGGGCGGAGTGAGCTCATTGGCTGAGCAGATAGCCAATCAGCTTCAAAGGAAAGAGCAACCCAAAACCCTTCTAGACAAGAAGGAACTGGTAAGAGCTATTCCAGGGGCACTGTCTCTAGCCACGGCACGGCGGTGAGCAGCCCTCACCTGCTCCGAAGGCCTTGCTGATTTCTGTAGCCACGTGAATTACTACGTGGCAGCGTTCTTGAGGTGGTCTTGATATTTGATGACTAAATTTCTAGAAATGTGGTAAATATTTAGAACGTTCTACGGAAAAGCACTTTTCTCTTTAAAGATAGTCCCTCCGGGATTCGGGATGCGCACACGTGTGTGTGCACCCATGAACGCCAGGTGTATGTATATTTATTCTGTCCCCCAAGCAGACAGTTGGTTTGATTGTAAGAAATTCTGAAGCCTTGGACTCTTCATCACAGGCATCTCTTAGTTCTTGATCCTCACAGGATTAGACCCTGGCTTGTACTGAGGGTCCTCGGGAGGGGCCCGTGGAGTAAAGCTACCACGAGAGCCGCTCTTTGGGAAAGCCACCAATGGAGCATTTGTAGTCATTTAATACCCACGGTCTGTGTCCATGTGACCCGCGTCGTCATCACCACAGGGGGCGTGTGTGGCCCCAGGAGAGGCCACACAGTCTGATACGCTCCTCCTCACCCACCCCACAGGGCTCCATCAAGAAAGAGTTCCCACAGAACCTGGGGGGCAGCGACACGTGCTACTTCTGTCAAAAGCGAGTCTACGTGATGGAGCGGCTGAGCGCCGAGGGCAAGTTCTTCCACCGAAGCTGCTTCAAATGCGAGTACTGCGCCACCACGCTGCGCCTCTCTGCGTACGCCTATGACATAGAGGACGGTGAGTACATCGTCAAGTCAGCAACTGAGTGTGACGCCTCCTTCTCCTCCTGAGCCAGAGACCTTTGGGCCCTCGCTGCATTCCTCTCTATACTAATCTCAGCTATCTCTTTCCCTTTTTTAAAAAAGCCTCAGACCGGGGGTGGGGGCATGAGGGTTGTTCAATTCCTCTGTGTAGCCCTGGCTGTCCTGGAACTGGTTCTGTAGACCAGGCTGGCCTCGAACTCTGAGATCTGCCTGTCTCTGCCTCCCAAGTGCTGGGATTAAGGGTGTGCACCACCGCCGCCCAGCAGAGCAATTCTGAGACTCTTTAAGAATATTTTTCCAGTCCCCAGACGGTTACAGCTCAGCCGGGAGGTGATGCTGTGGCGGCACAGATGTCGTCCGTCCCCCGCAATTCACACACTCACTCACCTCACATAAGACTGTGGCATCTAAAGGGGGCATACATAGTCAGGGTTCCTAGAACTCATGTTTCCTGCCTAAGGTTGATAACAGCCACCAAAGTAGATCCAGGCCTCTGCCCTACGGAGCAGATTGTAATGCCAAGCTTTGTGACCTCCCTCTGGCGTCAGCATCTCCTGGCCTGGGGCCCAGTTCTGCTGGTTAACTGTGGAAAGACCTTAGTTTTAAGGTGGAGAAATGTGCCAACAAATAACAGCTTGTCATCCAAAGATTCTTTTTTTTTTTTTTAAAAATAATTTATTGTATGTGC